TACCACTTGTTAAGAAAATTAGGGCAAAGAAAAACAAGAACTACACAAATCTAGAAGAACACAGAGATTTAACGAGGTTCGACAAAGATGTCTACGTCCTCAGGAGCAGAGCGACGACTTTTCACTATTCAGAAAAGAGGTTACAGAATTCAGGGATTCAGAGATAATCCCTAGGATTACATACAAGCCTAATTTATAACCCTAGAAAGTGCATAAAAAGGAAACATTGGGTATAATATGTAATTACCAAATTACCCCTATACCACACCCCCAACCTACATAAAAAAACTCCCTTGATTTGGAAAGAAACTTCCGCTCTGCTCCACTCCAGATTTAGCACTGTCCATTTATGGTATATGAGCCATATCTAACATTTTTTAAAATTATATATGTAAATATTGATCTAGCATGCGATGTGTCATCATTGGGCTTTTAAGGTGCCAATAAGTTTTTGGGTTGTGCCATAAGCTCATGGAATTTTTGAACTTTTAAGTTTAAATAATTAGTGAGCCAATATTAACCATAAGTGGTCCTTATAAAGAGGTTCTCCAATAATTGATAACTTTTATGAGTAGTTCTTATATTATTTTTAGTAGGTAATGGCTAATTTTATGTATTCGGCGTTTTAATTGTGATTACTATATTTCTTCCTATTCTAGTCATCAATCACTTTAGGGCATCCAACAACTAAACTTATTTTTGAGTGTCACTTCATGTTGAAGTTGATAATGTTGTCCCACTCTTCCTTTATGGCTACACAAAACCATGGAACAACCACTAACCTCCACTTTTTGCTATAAAAAAAACTAATAAATATGATTCAAATTCAATTTGACTCAACTTTAACTTTGATGATATGATCTTTTTGGTAAAAGAATAAATATAAGAATTTTAATTAGTTTGTGTTAGTAGCAAAGGGATGAGGCTGATTACAAAGGCAAAGCCTTGGTGGTACAAATCATTATATTTTGCCTCATTTAGTTTGTTCTCAGGCCCTTTAGATTTAATTGGTGATAAGCCATTTTTAAGGTCTTTATTATTAGGGATTTATACATGCCTACACTTTATGATATCTTCACTATGGTCTTATATATGAAGAGATTTAGCCTTCAAAACCAAAATGCTCGCTTTACACATTTTTTTAGATTGATGAATATTTTACTCATTTGTATGTGATTTTTCCTACCTTGGATTTTTCATGTAAGCCTTCATGTTTTTCTCTTACTTTTTCTAGTGTTCATCTCATTAATGTTTTAACAAAACATAACAACATTCTCATTTTCATCAATCCAAGAATTATGGTAATAGGTTTATATGTTGTTTGGTCAAGGAATTTGTTAAAAGTGTTCAATAAAAACATAATCATTCATCATAGAAAAAATCCTTTCTATTCCAAAATTCTTCTTTGCATATAATTTTAAATCAAAATATAAAGCTCTACTTGGGTACTGTCAAATTCACTTTTATTTTATTTTTTCTAGTTCTACATGGATAGTTGATTAAAATCCACATAGATTTTTTTCTAATTCACATAGATACTTCAGTAACAAAATGCATTGTAACTAACTCTCATTTATTAAAACATGATCATTAGATTCCACATTCATTCATTTCCACTTTGATCATTTTTGAAATGAATTGTCTTTCAATTAAAAGATAAAAAATAGTTCAATTGTATCCCAATTATAACACCTGTGATGATTTCTGATAAGAGTTATATAAGTCATATTTGTAGAAGTGCCAATTCATCTGACTCTTTAGATCAATCTTTTTGCTTCTCAGCAGTGGATAACTACATTTTATGTGTTAAATTAACATTGTAATGTGTTCTTTAAAATAGATGATCTAACAATTTTAAATCTCTAACCATTGTAGCAGATTCTTTAGTCTCTCTATATGCTATGTTGTAAATTTATGGTCAGAATTTCTATCTTGGTTGTCTTTGGGTTGGAGCTAAAGCATTTGATTTTATCATTTTCTCCACATACATATATATGTATAAGAACTCCAATCACTTTTTATCCCTCAAAAGTATTTTGGCCAATTGTAGGGCAATATATATTTAACTATATGGTTGAAATGATGATACAAGTAGCATGTGTTGGAGCTAGACAAACATTAAACCTTATGCTACTCCCAACATTTGACACATGATTCTATAGCAATACGAGAACCACTACTAAATTCATCTGAAATGAACTTAGGTTTCTTTTTTTTTCTATTTGACCATTCTCTTTCATCAATATTCTTCCTTTTGTGCAATTATTTAAAACTTCAAGTTAAAAATCTGATTCCAAGTATTAATGGCTCTCTAATAGAAACCTTTAATCCAAATAGAAATCGACACTTCACATCTATAGTCAATATCAATTGTGATGCATATCTAGATAGTGTAGTAAATTTCTGTCTCATTATGTATGACAATCTTCACTCCTAGCTAGCACTAGCCTAATTAACTTGTATTGCATTTTTCTTACCGTAGGAAAGGTCACAACCAACTCTCAAAATAACTCGATAATATTTTCAAAGTTAACCCCTTAACTTATCTTGCCAATGCCCTTGTCATCATATTTATTCCTTCCCATCTAGTGCAAATGTAATGAGTGGTACCCTTGTTTCATCTAGACATGATATGCTCTCTATTATCCTTTTTATATGCATTTTTTAATTCTTTGATTTAATTGGACCTTTAGATCCCTTGAAGAATAGTGAGTACAGATCTTGGAAGCACTTCAAATATTTATCCACAATAACAAAATTACTTTCTTTGGACTATAACATAAAATCTTATATTAATTACGTCATTGCCATCATCATTTGAGTTAGAGCATTAGTGCTCATGATGACATATGATGGTAATGCATCTTCCACCACATTTTCATCTCTCACCTCCTATTGTGCATTCATTTATCATGGTTAAATTAATGTTACCTAAATAGAAATAATGTCAATCTCCACTTTTTTATATAATTTATTATTTTTATTTTTCCTATTAGCTCTTTTGATATGTTTATATTTACTTAATCATAACCCTTCTCTAAGACTACTCTTTACATAATCCAATCCAAGAGATTAAATTTTTTAAGACAGAAATAAAAGGCCTGATACTGATTAAGTGACAACCATTATCTTGAAATTCTTACGAATTTAAATATATCAAATATTTAAAATTTATCTAATTCCAAAAATAATTAAAGAGCCATAAGATATATAATCTAAATCAAATATAAAATAAACAACTTGTTCTATATAGTCGTCTCGTTTATGATATATATTATCTCTTTTTTCACTCATTTAGACATATAATTATTCTCCTTCTCTTTCAAGTGAAGAGAGACGATCTATTTATATGTTTTTATGAGAGAAGTATGTTGGTTCTTTAATAAATAACTTCTCCAACCATCTGATCTAACAACTCATATTGATTCCTCTTGATCATATGAGTTTGTTTAATGAGTATAATATAAAACTCAACACAACAAATATAACATGGTTGTATAATAGAAAACTTAGTCTTTTTTTTTTTTGTTCTGATTTTTAACCAACTCAAAATTGTTGCATCCCTTAAGTACAAATACGTTGGATCTGTTGTACTGAGATAAATCGGTACAACCAATACAACATGGTTGTATTTTAGGAGCATGCACTAAAAAAAAAAATCATTAGTTAAGAAACAAAAAAATCATTAAAAAATGAAAAAACAATAATTGTCTCACATTTGAAAGCATATCATCAAATTTGATTACCAAAAAGACAACTAATTGATCACATGCAGTTGTCGTATGTTGTCTTTTGATTCCTACGAGATTCACAATCTCTTCTTTGTCGCTAAGCTAGGAGACAAGCAGACATGTGGAGCTATAGAATGAGGAAATGTCGGCAGACAAAAAAAAAAGAAATTAAACAGGAAAAAAGAGACAAAATGTCAATGCTTAATCGTGGTACCACAAAGAAATTTGAGGGAGTAGAAAATACCGAACGACCATAGAGCAAACCTTAGAGAGCTTGACGTCAATTTCTGAACATGAAATGTCAAATGAACCCCAAACGCAAAAAGTGTCGATCTCTATATTTTTTGTATTTGCCTTGTTCTGGATGGGCCGAGCTGATGTCGAGCAGCGAATAAAACAATAATAAAAAAAACACATAGCATTTGTGGATTGACTTCCGCATGTAGTTCTACGTGCATTAACCGTTAACCAGACATAATAATTTTTCATGGATGAGGATGTAACTTGGTGCAAGTGTGTATACACATTTGCATGCTTGAGCAGGCGGTTGTGGCGATGGCTAAGACAGGCCATGGGCCGGAGTTGGTCGGGCCACATAGTAGGTAGTGCGCGCGGGTAGATTCATAGGTCGGCGACTGACTTGGTTTAGGCCAGAAAATGGGTGAAAGTCGGTTAGGCGGACTGTCATCAGGTCGGGTCCATTAAGAACTTGAGAGGTGAGAAAAATTGCAAGCCGAAAGACATAGTCCGACACGCTGCGGACTACTCTCGCACGGAGAAAAGGGTGATCGTGCACTTGCTGCGTACTCCATTTAGTTTAAGTACATAAAAATGGGGATGCAATGAGACACACAGTTTTGTAGTCATATAATTTACACTACACATATGAGGCATGTATTTTGTGCAAGCAAAGAGTACTGACATAGCTTAAGTTTTTTTTTTTTTTCTTCCTTTTTGAAATGTATTAATAACGCGCTTTCAGAAATTTGATGCAATGACTTACATTCATGGTGACCATATCTTCTTGATTGCTTGCACTCAGTTGTATGTAAATCTTCAAATAATTTATCTCCTTTTGACATTATTGAGATGTAGTGGAACTGACAATACTTGTTCAGACGTAATTACGTACATTGAACACACCCTATTCTACAAGTGCAAAGCATTCATCATTTTATTTTAGCTGTGTGCATAATATGTAAATCATTAAACAGGAAAAATTCAAGGCAAGACAGCTTTACGCATCATTATTTGAACTATATAATGCATTTCTCTGCTTTTGTAATCATACACATATCAAGCTCCTCCTTCATCTATAAAAGGTGAGTAATCTCACACAACATAAAAAGGAAAACATGTATGTACACTTGGTTGCCCTTGATGGCTAATCTACCCCATTTTCTTTCCATTTCAAAAGGTAGAAAAATGTAAACACAGCTTTACAGTTCAAGCCATAGACATACTAATGTATATATCCTCCCATATAGTTAACTGATTGCTTTAAAATATTTCTTCTGAATCATTATCTGTAATCATAGTACCTTTAGATTTACCAAAGGTCTTAGACACCAAGAGTTTCTGCGAGCAGCCTCATTAGACTGACCTGAGCCTGGAGCGAGATAACATAGTCTATGGTCTCACTCCACAATGATAAATCATCCAAGTACTCTGCTCCTGGCACGACACGTTTAAGGATTCTTGTTCTCTTGTTCACCAGATTCTCTTGTTCGTTTGATGATTCACGCACTTTTCTTCGGATAGTTGAATTCATTATGTGCTTTCTCTTCCTCATCATTCTTTGAAACTTTAATGCAAAGTATGGCCTTGTTATGCTCTCGTACCTCTTCCTCCCCAATATCCTTCTCATAAAAATCCTGTTTTTCTTATGCTTGGCTTGACGGGCGATCAATGCACGACTCCAGTTCATGCCTCTGCTTACAGCGGTGGAGACCATGGCAATGTTTGCCGAGAGCTTGATGGTTCTCTTCCTCTCTTTGATGTTCATCTTCCTGGATGAAACTCCTCCGAGTTTCAGACCCATCAGCATGGTCTTCAGAAAGCTTCGGCTTAATTTGTTATTTGTGGCTTCCATTGCTGAGCTCAAGAGTTATTAGTGATCAATGAGAAATGGCTGCCGAATATTGTTATTTCTCAGGATTGAACTTGATTTTTGTTGCAGATATTGTTGCAGACTTCATAAGATAAGTCCAGAAAACAGAGGTGTAGGGGAATAGAGATGGAAAGAATGCATGCATTAATATAGAGAGAGAGGATGGAGGAGGGGATGAATCTGAATGAACATTGAGAGAGGAATGAGAGAATACAGATAAGAAGAAAGAATCCACATGGTAGCACATGGTTGCGTGGGCCCACACTTGCATAAAAAATTATAAACACGGATGTAGCTAAATGTGTCGTGCTTATATGATTACATGCACATGCAACCAAGCAAAGACAGGACATGCTTTGCTTGGCCGCAGGGGCGTGTTGGGGAGGGATAGGCAATCGATTGTTCACCGCCGCATTGTAATGATAAAAGTATTATGGACGTTAAAAGGGCAGTACACAGCGTAATTTACATATATACCATATTATGTCTAATATCTGAAATTTGATATTTATGACATCTTGATGGCAAGAATTTAAGGATAAAATATGTGTATAACTCTTAAGGAGAGTTATAATGGTATTTTTAATATAGATTATGTACATATGACAGTTTAGGTGTTAGGAAGGTAAGTACATAAGAATTATATGTTATATGTGTAAATGATTAAAGTTTTAGTTTTTGATAGTTCAAAGAACAAAATCAAATTACAATATAAGAAGAAAATGACAAAACAAATATTTACATAACATATGACACATGATGTATTTACATATCTAATTGCACTTGAAGTTCGATGTTTGTATTTATAATATTTTGAAGGCATGAACCTAAGCATATAAAAGGTGCATAATTTTTAAAAACTTATTATTAATAATGGTATTTCTAATATTATATCAAAGATTTGAGTGTTATGTACATAAATAGGAAATTTTAGGTGTGTAAATGTAAATACATAAAATTTGCATGTGTTATGGATAAAAGTTTTAGTTTTTGAGGAAAAAATTACAAAAGAAATATATACTTAAAATTTTAATTTTTGGTTTAACTATTTTTTCTACTAAAACCCAATCATAAACCAAAAGCCAAATAACCTCAAATGGTAAATTAAAAAAGGAACCGCCATTTAGTAAACTGAATCAAATCAAGCACCTAGAGCTTATTGAGTGATATTCATCATGCAGTGCATGGAGCTCTAGCAAATTGCACTGCATACATGAGTCCCACTCATGTATCTTATTTTACCTGCTCATTTGTCTGAAATAAAGTGAATAATTTCAATGTATTAAATTCAAGTGCGCTCCTTGCCCTTGGTGTGCTATTATTGAAGTGACGGGCCAACCTCTTGCTACATCATGTCTATCATGGCTAACCATCCCCAATGCTCCCATGTCCATCTTAGAGAGTTATGAAGATTCTAATACGGACCTGGTAATGAAACATTAATATACAGTACTTATTGCGCCAGGCCCATACTGCTCTGACTTCGTCATCTGAAATCACATGGCGTTCACATGGAATACTCAACTTCGGTAGTTATATATGGAACACTGTACCTGGAGGTCTTTAGAAGCTAATTAAGATAATATTGAAGTCTTTTTCCTTCCTTATTCTTCCTCTTTGTCCTTCAATAATGGACTCTGCAGGCCATTATCTTCCCTCTCTGATGTCATGCAAAAAGACAATATTGTATTTCTTTCGAATAAGCACCACTCAATCTCGATATTTACAAGCCACCTAATTTTTACAGAATGTTTGCAATCGTAGAATTTGCAGATTGATGCTAATAAAAGCTTGTAGAAGTGCTGTTAACATAATATTACGAACTTAAAAAAGTGACAAGCCATGGATTACGCGCTCAGATGATTGCGTGAACACTTGAAAACAATAGATAGAAATCTAATTATTCTCCCATCTTATAAATCCTCGATCCTTCCTATTTAGTTAATTTTATAGCTATTTTTCATTCATTAAGCTCTCATTATTGTGATGATGTTTGAGATTTCACGGATTTCGGTCGTAAATCATAAATTTACTAAATTAATCCTGCGAACCGGTGGATTTAAGCTTGTTGAATTAATTTTTGTGATTAACCTATTCATAAATCTCATCCGTTGCTAGTCAACACTTTAGATTAAGGTGAACGGTAGAGGATTATGTACACACTTTGCCTCTATTTAATATTTTGCGGAGTTTATATACATACCATACAATTTTTATGTATTTACATATCTGACACCTTAACTTTCATATTTACATGCATGGCACTCAACTTTTTAACATCACATTAAAAAAATGACTATTATTAACAGTTTTAAAGAAAAATGTACACCTGTTCATGTATTATAACACCAAGTTGTTCATAAGTGTGAATGTCAAACTTTAGGTGTTAAATATGTAAATTTTACTTTAGTTTATGTACATTTTACTTTATTTTATGTTCATATGAAAAGCGTTAATGATCTCTTAATCTCAAAAGGGGTAAATTTTTAAAGGATGATTTGTTAAAAATTATTTAAATAAATAATTTTTTTTTTAAAAAAAGGAAAGGGGCTCGGTCGCTCATCTAGACCCAGCCTCGTCCCATCCATATTATCTTTCACTTTATTTTCAATCAATTTGCTATGAATTTGAGAACATTATTATTTATCTTTTTATCATGACCCCAATGACATTTTTTCTTCTATTAGTGATAATGTAGAGACTAAAATGGCAATTATATAGATACCATCTAATCCCAATATATTTACATATCTAACACCTAAACTTTAAGTTTTGCATATATGAACTAAAGTTAAAATAGCAGTATCTTTTATGTTATATGAATGATTTGGGTGGTGTATATGTAAAAATCAAAGTTTAGGTATTAGATATGTAAATGCATAAGAATTGAATGGTATGTATATAATACTCGTAAAGGAAAAAGGAACTTACATGCAGCCCCCACTCTTTGTTCCAAACCTCTATAGGCTATATTGGAGATTCTAATTCATGATATTTAAAAAATGTCACATTTTATTGAATATTAAGAATCCTCTTTGCCCCAATATATCATAGGTCGTTGAATTCAATGCATCTGTCTGCAAAGACTATATTCACTTATCATTAAGCCGTAGGAATATCTACATTAAGAAAAAACGATGAAATTAAAAAAAAATCAATTCTTAAATTAATGCATAGTAATCTCAAATTAATCACCTCTTAATTTCTTCTTAAGTAATTAAATGTAATTGCTTAAGTAATTAAATGTAATTGATGAGTTGGCAGCGGAGCAGAGATTGTGGCATCATTTTACATTGAGGTGTGAGTTTAAAAAGCTGTCACATCGGACAAATTTTGAATACAGAGAAAATAAACAACTAACAGTGTTGATAGTAAAGTTTCTTTCAAATTATATCCAAGGAATAGAGTGTATGAAAAGTGAGAATAAGAGGCAAAGTGAATAATAAAATGAAAGCATCCCCTATTTCTAATTATAGGAGACGCCCATAACCCTCATCTATACAAAGAAGCTTAGGAGTATTAAGGTCATTTGCACAATTTAAATCTATAAATATATTTAATAATACATTAACTGGTCGACATGAAGACTTCCGATCGTCATTACACATCCATTCATTCGACGATGACAAACTGAACCGCGTGAGAATGATATGAATGTCTTTCGACCAAGCTCGAATGCCGCTTAGCCTCAGTCTTCAAACCGCCTCCCTCATTCGTCTGACGGGAGGTTGTCCTTCGTTCAGCCTGGCATAGAGCTATCCCTTGTTCGATCTACCGTAGAACGGCTCTTCATTCTTCCTATTATGTCGGTCGGCTCGCATATCTAAGGGAGTGACTTGTCAGAGCTTTGAGACATCTTTCTCTCGACTTAGCATTCCAATAAAGTAAACTAGTGTTTGACTGAATATCTACATACTGTGACCATGGGCCCCCTCTTATTTTTGTCGTGTATCCACATTTCTCTCTGAGATTCATGTTGTCATGATCTTGTCATACATATTTAGTTCCCCAATTTTCTTGTCTTTTGAAAGCAACGACTGTGATAAAAACAAGAAAATTAAAAAGCTACGGTAAATTCATTTATTTCATAAACATTATTCTTAATAGTTAGACTCTCTGGATTTCCGAGTACTATCATCTTATAAATAGGTTGTATTTGATGACCCTTATACCCGCACTTTGTTCCTATCCAGAGCTTGGGTCGATCCTTGTTGAAGGTGCTCTCATGGAGAGCCATAAGAAGGTCCATTTTGACGAGTCGTCCGATGATATTCTGATGAAGGTTTTTGGACTACCAGTTGAGAAAATCCATTCCCTAAGTATTCCTGCAAAAAGTCGTCAGCCCGAGGGTGGTTTGGTCGATGATCAGAGAAAACATCTTGAGGACAGTAAGGCTGCCAAGAAGAGGCAAGTGCAGTAGTTGGCTTTCAAGAAGTGGCCATTGGATGAGCATGATGACGATGAGGAGGACGAATTGTTTGATGACATTCCACTGTTGCGTCGAAATTCGAGTAAGAGTCTGATCGTTTCCCTTGTTGGAGCATTGACCAAGTCTAATGGCTAGGAGGAAAAGAACACCCGATGAACTTTCATGGGTATGCCGCCTAGGGACAAGGATGCGACTGGTCCTTTCCAGATCGAAGGGATGAGAGCTCCGGGGGCTCCACCTATGCCGGTTGAGAGCTTCTAATCTTTGTTATATTTTGAGCTAGACTGACTCCTTGATATAAAGAGTTCGGTTGTTTAACCCACTCATTAGCTTAGAGGGATTTTGTGCTTCGTCTAACTTGGTCTCTTTTTGTTATGAAGATGACCCTGCGTTAACGAAGTGGGCCAAAAACAATCTTTTGAACTCAAAGAAAGAAGGGACAACTCTCATCATGAGGGTGTTGAACTACCTAAGTGCTGACTCTCTCAGTGTGATAAGGAACAAAATGACATTTGAATGCATCGATGATCTTTAGTATACTGGCTGCCGACTTGAAAGCAGCCACAAGATCAACTGAGTCGATATGACCCTTATATGAATCGAAGTTGTGAGTTTTGAACTTCTCTCGGGGTTCAGTCTCGTAGATTTGTTGGGAGAAGGCATTTTGGGCTTGACATAGTTAGCCTTGACATAGTTAGCGTGGTACGATGTCTTTCTATTGTGGCAGACCCGAAACTTTCTTGGTAATGGGAATCATCAACTCTCCCTTCTATTGGTTGTGATTTTTGACTGTTAGGCATCGGTGCATCTCGTCGGTCGTTGGGTGCCAGTCCCTCCCGACGATCGAGCTCTTGACGAGTATATTCTTAAGGGTTCTAACTCTGTGGGTTTTGGCTTCCCCTGGACAAAGCTTCTTGAAAAGGTCTAACATTTTTTCTCACATTTCTAACATTAGCTGTTTTTTTCATTTCCATCACTTCTCATCGCACAATTTCTCTTGTGCTATCTATGCCTACTGTTTGGATCTCTATTTCTCCTTGAGCTACAGTATTTTTTCTGAGCTGCACTCCTCTTCTTGTTGGTGACATGATTCCACACTCGAATTTTGAGTCCTAAGGTGTCCGGGACATCACACGTAAGGAATATAACATATGAAAAGAAGGGAATAGAAGGCAAAGAAGAAGTGAAGAGTAAAATGAGAGCATCTAACCATCTCTTTATGAAATACTCTCCTATTTAGTTATAAGAGATGCCTATAATACACAATTACATCTAAGACCCTCTTTTATACAAAGAGGCTTAAGGTATTAAGGTCATTTTTACAGTTTAAATCTATAAATATATTTAATAATATATTAACTAGTCGATCACGATGGCTCCCAGTCATTAGTACTGATCCATTCATTCGGTGATGGTGAACTTAACCGCGTGAGAAGGATATGAATGCCTTTCGACCAAGCACATCCATGGCTTAAACTTTGCCTTCGAACAACCTCCCTCATTCGTCTAGCAGCAAGTTATCCTTCGGTCAGCCTAGTGTAAAGTTGTCCCTTGTTCGGTCTAACGTAAAGCTGTCTTTCGTTCAGCTTATAAAATATCAATCCACTCGCACACCAAAGGGAGTGACTTGTCACAACTTGTATACATTTTTCTCTCGATTTTAACATTAATTTTTACTCTATAAAGTAAACTAGTGTTTGCATACATGACTGCAAGTCCCTCTTATTTTATCGTATCCATGCTTCTCTCCAAGATTCATGTTGTCATGATCTTTTCATACATAGATTTTACGTGCATCATTATTTTATATTAAATATTAAATTCTTCCAATGAGAGGTAGAGTTTTCAAATTTCCTACATTAAGAATGCAATGCACAGGTAATATTTTCCTCAACATGAAAAGGTGGACAGTTTTATAACACCAAGGTATTACAAGTGTATATATCAAATTTTCTATTTTCCATACAGAAATACATAAGAATTGTGTGATACGTATTTCTATTTCCTGAAAAAAAAAAAATATATAGATTGTGTTAATCAAGGCTTGTTTTACATCTTGTTAATAGTCTCTTTTTATTTGTCTGAAAACAAATAGATGGTAATAAATGTCTATATCCTACAATTACTATTATTTTTTTTTTCTATTTTTATTAATGTTTACAAAAGGCAAGCTACTATATTGAAATTTTTTAGTGCATATCAGGCATTAACACCTAACTTGGGCAGTTCTATATTAAGTTAAAACAATGGCATCATCAATTAGCCAAAAAGAGAAATGAAATTAATCTACTATTTTACTGCAATAATCTTCACATAATATTGTCGAACATGTGTGAGTATACACACACAAGAAATATATATATATATATATATATATAAAGATAGACGTCAACATGTGTTTGTTCACCGCATATGTGCTAATTCGACCAAGATAGATTTGAACTTACGATAGAGAGTTACACCGAAGCTACCATTCAACAGGTTGTATTATATATATATATATATATATAGGAGATCAAATGGAATCATTACATGCACTAACTTTAAAGCAAAAAACATTTCTATAAACAAAGGTTCTATCCTTATAGTTAGCCTCTTTCTAACATGTATACAGGCTCTTTCCAACAGATCTTAGTATTACTTCAGTACCAATGAACTCAAATCAAAATAACTAAATAAAAATGCATTAATGCAAAAAGCTAAAAAAAAAGGCAGTAATGAATAGACCATTACCTATTCATAGCAAAGGCTATTTATTTTCATACCTCCAATAAAAAAAGAAGATTTACATGCATACCATTCAATTCCTATGTATTTACATATCAAACACTTAAAACTTCAATTATAACATATATGCCACCTTATTTTTGCAGGAAAAGATGTATTTCACCTTTAAAATTATGGTGTTTTTATGTGATACGGACAATTTGAGTAGTATAAATGTAAAAAAGTAAAATTTCGGTGTTTGATGTGTTAAAAGATAGGAATTGGATGGCATGTATGTAAATGCCCCTACAAAAAAAAAAAAGAAAAAAAAGAAAAAAAGAAAAGATCACACCACCTCTCCAGTTCCAATCTCTGATGGCAGAAGAGACTTTTCAGAATTTAAAATACAAAGCTTTGGAAACAAGGATGCTTAAATTCGCTTGCTCATTATGAATCCAAGAAAGTTTCTTACCAAAAGATCTCTTCTTAAAATATTCCTCTCTTTCGATAGCCCAAAGCATAAAAACTACAACTGTTTGCGACACACCAAATATTTAAGAACTATTTACATACATACCACGTAATTCTTATATATTTACACATTTAATAATATCTAAACTTTCATATTTGCATGCATAGCATAACTTCACATCAAAAATATCACCATTACCTAAATTTTTAAAAGTGAAATACATTTTTTTTCATGCATAACTAATTAAAACCAAAATATTATAAATGCAAATATGGACGTTTAGATATTAGATATGTGAATACATAAGATTTATGTGGCATATAAGTAAATTTCCCATACCAAAAAAAAAAAACTTCTGTGCCTACACTAATAGGGGCTCATTCCTCACCATAATGATCTCCATCAAAATCTCTGGTGGGTCATCTTGATCCATCTCCTTCATATATTATTCAGTAATTAGGTGGTTCCAATGATCCTCACCAGCTGCAAAACCCATGGCCGGTGCTCATTTCTCCACCTGTTTCAACGAATACAAGGAAAATCATCATTCTTCTTAGATCATTCATTATTCTATGCATAAACCTTTTTAAAGTATTAAAAAAGAATTGATAAAGCTAAGAATCCAGTTCTTTCAAAGATGCATGGATTACCATATTTGGTGTTGTCTGTAGAGCCATTTCTGTTCTACCTTAAGTTGTCAAACATAAATATTTTCTTCGTTCTTCCATTTCAGCAGTTGGAAACTAAGCGAATTTCTCATAGAGGAATATAGATTTCTCCAGTTTACATGGACTTAAACCACAACGCAACAAGATCAGTGTCAATGGACTTGGACTTGCTTACACAAACATGGTGCAACTCAGCAATCCAACTTTACCAGCCCATGATCAAGGGAGATTCAGTGGAGGCTTTGGGCAACAATAAAGGCTCGGGCCTGCAAGTAAGTTCAAAAAACAAATACCAAACTTGAAGATTTCATAATATATGCTGCAAATTCATTGTAAGAGAATGTTATAACAGATTAATAAGATAAAAAAAAATTCTTGCAGAACAGGAGTTTTGCTGTGGATGATGGGGAGCAGAGCTCCATAGCACAGTGGAAGCTTGAAGATGTGAAGGTAACACAGTTGTTTCAATCTGGTTCAAGGAAACATGAGTTTTGATCATAATTTCTTCGATGGATTTTACTGAAAGAAGATATTTTTTTGGTCTAGACATGGATATGGCTGCAAAAGGCAATCCACCCAGAATTGGAATATGACATTTGCTTCAGAAAGAAATGGGTAAGAAGAGACATGCTGAGACATTGGCATTTGTTCTAGACATAACAGTTTTTATCGGAATATAAATATTTCTCCACACATTTCTAACAGTTCAAACACTTTGTCTATATGGTATCTTTGTAAAGGAGATATTAAGAGGGGTTCTTCCGAAACTATATTGCAAGTGTTATACAAATTTAAACAATATTTAGAAATCTCCTCCTGATCCCTCACCAAGTTTATTGGAACATAGGATTTACTGATTCAGGGTAAACATGCAAGAGAAAAATTGTTCATCTCCTTGCAACGAAAACGAGGGATCCAATTGAGAGTGTAAGTTCAAACTTGTCAAGTGATAGGAAATTCCATAGAACAATCCCAACTTTACCAAGGCTTGGCATTAATAGAAATTAAACCACACCACAGAATAATAGGATCATACAAATTCAAAAAAATCGAAAAAAAATTATGAACAGAAGCACAATCAAAGCAACCAGAAAAACACAAGAATTTTATGGAGAAACACGAGAACAGAAAAAAAACCAAAGCCAAACCACCAGAAAATTTCACTATGAAATTCAAAATGTTTTTACAAAGAATTCGCACAAGTTTTCTCTCTACACACAATTAAACTTACAGACATGCTTCACAATTTTCCTTCTCCAATCTGAGGCAAGAATCACGCTAATTTAAATCCACCTCTTCGACTCTTCTCACATTCACCGAGATGCTTCTCAAAGAACACAAAGGAAGAATTCACAAAGCCCTAACTCTTACGCCGCTTGAAATGAGACTTAAAACAAAATATCAAGTGAAAACTGCTCTGGGAGCTTATGTGGCAGGACTTGGCGCATAAGCGTTGTGTTTTTTGTGTCATGCATCTAAATTGGGCACATAAGCACCAACAATTTGACACATAGCTGCTGATCTCTCTAGAATCAAACAACGCTAGAGGAAAAAGTGGGCACATATGCACCCATGGGCTAGCGCATATGCGTCAGCCCCTCTGCGAGCCGCACCCCATGGGTGTTGGCCTTACTGCTTCAGCTGCACAACAATCAGGCTCAATAACATAACAATCTTCCACTTGGAGACTGATTGCACTCAACACCGATCCTCTGTACCTTCACCTCCATCTGAATTGCCTTTATAGTCATGTACCGAGATCAAGTACCGTGGTTTGGCTCATCCCCGGTCTCAACCTCCATGAAACCCAACTGAAATCAAGCATAATTTCAATTTCTCAATACTAACCACCTTCGTTAACATGTACGCAGGATTCTGAGCTGTGTATCTTCTCCAGGAACAACTATCAACCTTCAAAAAGAGAGTGAATAAAATGATACCTCGGTTAAATGTGTTTCGTTATGGCATGAAAAACTGCGTTCTTAGCAAGATGAATCGCACTCATACTGTCACTGTAGAGTTTTTCAATCCTTTGTTCCTTGCCCAATTCTGTCATTAAACTTTGTACTCAAATCATTTTCTTGCTATCCTCAATGATAGCAATATATTCGACCCCCGTATTTGAAAGTGCGACGACCTTATACAGCCTAAAAACCGAACTCACTGTCGTGTTCCCTAATGTAAAGATATACCCTGTTTGTACTTCTCCTACTATCAACATCTCCTAACTGATCCCTACACTTCCATATCAAAGTGTCAGGTTGATTGTTCCCTCAAATACTCGAGAATCCACTTCACTGTCTCTCAAAAATGTCTGTAAGGATTGCCTATGTACCCGCAGACCACTTATACTACATATACAATACCTGGTTTGGTACAAATCATCATATACATCAAATTTCCAACCACTGAAACATACGGAGTTTTCTCCATCAGTGCTTGCTCTGCTTCAGAATTAGGTGATTGGTAGCTGTGAAAAGCGTCGCAAAGCGGGTGGCCATTTCACGCAAGTATACATGTCCAATTAGTATGCGGTTTTAAAAGAGTATCGTGTATCGTTCCCACAATAAAGTGTGTTAAGAAATCAATTTGAAACTACTGAAGTTATAGGTTACTAAGTACTCCAAACTAGTTCGGCGAAATCAGAAAACAAGAAAAGAATCTTAAATTTGTCAGGTTCTGCAAAAAATAAAACTGAAGAAAGAGAGGTTCAAAGTTCTTTGGTGTTTTTTAAGATTAATGAGGATCGTGTCTCTATAATTCAGGTGTGAAAAACAACGTTTTTATTAAGATAAATCACACTCACTGTAGAGCTTTTCAATCCCCTACCCCTCTACTAATTCTGTCATGAAGTTTTGTAGCCAAATGACCTCCTTGCTAGCCTCAGTGATAACAAAATATTCAGTCTCCGTAGTTGAAAGTGCAAATCTTATAGAACCTGAAAATCCAACTCACTACTTTGTTCCCCAATGTGAAGATGTACCATATTATATTTCTCCTACTATTGGCATATTCTGCCGGATCTGAATCTACAAATCCCTGTAAACTGATCACTACACTTCCATAGCAAAATGTCGTGTTGATTATTCCTCCCAAATACCTGAGAATCCACTTTATTACCTCCCAATTATGTCTGTATAGATTGCTCATGTTCCTGCTGACTACTCCCACAACATATGCAATATCTGGTATGATACAAATTATCACATACATCAAACTTCCAACTGCTGAAGCATACCGAGTTCTCTCCATCTATACTTTCTCTGCTTCAAAGTTTGGTGATAGCTCCTTAGATATTTTGAAGTGACTACCTAAAGGAGTTCTAACTGGTTTCGCCTCAATCATGTTGAATCTCTATGGGATCTCCTCAACATACTCTGTCTGATATAACTTCAGTGTTCCTCCACTCATGTCATTATTAATTCTCATCCCGAGGATCTTTCAGGTTTGACCTAAATCCTTCATCTCAAACTCACTTTATAATTGATTCTTCAAGTTCCTGATTTTCTTCATATCTGCCCCTGCAATTAGCATATCATTCACATACAAAAGAAGTAAAATATAACAGTTACTAAAGTGTTTGACGAAGCAACAATGAACTACCTGGCACTTCATATACCCATAGACTGACATGAACACGTCAAACCTCCTGTACCACTATCTCGGGGCCTGACTCAAGCCATAGAGGCTCTTCTTCAATCTGCAGACCAAACCTTATTTTCCTAGAACTTTGTAATCTTATGATTGCACCATGTATAGTTCCTCTTCCAAATCCCCATATGTAAGAAAGCAGTTCTTACATCCATCTGCCCCAGATATAGATCTTTCACAACCAAACTCAGCACAACTCTGGCAGTCGTCATCTTCACCGCTAAGGAGAAGATTTTTGTATAATTCACTCATTCCCTCTGCTGGAAACTCTTTATAACAAGTTTTGTCTTATAGTGCCTGCTACCATGACTCCTCTTTCAGCTTGTAGATTCACTTGTTGTGCAGTGCTCTTTTGTCATTCGGTAGTACCTTCAAATCCCAAGACTGATTTGGCTTCAAAGATTGTATTTCTTCGTTCTCCCACTCCCTTGAACCCTCAAATTGAGTGACCTCCTCAAAGCACTATGGTTCTTCACCACTATCGGTTAGTAACAAATAGTGTAAAAAGGAAAAATATATTTGTATAAGTTATTTCACTCTGTTGGATCTTCTAACTTCTATAGGATGTGATTGAGAAACTTTCAGTGCTCCTTCTGTTGAGCACTTGTTCTTTCATCATTTTCCTGATCACCAGTATCAACTATCTCCACATATCTAGATTCTTCAGAGGTAGCTAACAAAATATCCTGAGTTCTAATCCTGTTTTTGTACATCTCCATTTCGTTAAATGTTACGTACATGCTCCTGATAAATTTCTGATTATGATAATTACAAAACTTGTACCTAAGTTCATCTAAGTCATATCCAATGAAGGTGCACTTGACAAATTTTAAGTCAAGCTCGCTTTTAGATCCTGCATTAATGTGCGTATAAACAAAACATCCAAATAGTCTTAAATGAGATGGACATACAAGTTTGTCACTCCAAGCTCCTTTAAGTAAGCTTTCCTTCAAGGTACTGATGGTCTACGGTTTAGCAAAAAAACTCCAGTGTTACTGCTTCAGCCCAAAACTGTTTTGGTAAGCCTACATGCAGTTTCATACATCTTGCACGCTTCAGGATTGTTCTGTTCATGCGCTCGCCACACCATTCTGTTGCGGTGTCCTTCAGACAGTGAACTCATGCCTAACCCCCCTTGCAGCACAGAAATTCATGAACTTCCGATCACGGTACTCACCCCTATTATCTGATCCGAGAAACTTAAGCTTCGAGTTTGTCTCATTTCTACCATAGTCTTCCACTTCTTAAAGACTTTAAATAAATTAGATTTCAGCTTTAAGAAATAAACACATACATTTCTCGTGTGATCATCAATAATATGATAAAATAGCGAAAACCTCTAATGGACTGAATTGGAGTAAGACCACACACGTTAGTATGCACTAACTCCAGTTTGTTTGATTTCACTACTGACTCGCTCTTGGAGAAAGAAACTTTCTTCTGCTTGTCATATATACAATCTTCAAAGAAATTCAGATCAATTGATTTCAAACCTTAAAGCTTATTCTTTGAAAATAAGGACTTCATACATTTCTCGCTCATATGGTCAAGCCTACGGTGCCACAGACTTGTATCCACCCCGGTTCCAGCCACATCAATGAAATCAATCATTTCATTGATCAGATAAAGAGTGTCTTCAATGTTTCCCTGAGCCATCACTAATGCCCCCCTTATCACTTTCCACGAATCAACTGTGAAAGTAGTCACAAGTCCTAACTTTGTCAGCCAGCTCACAGAGATAAAATTTATCTTCAAACTTGAAACATGTTATACTTCAGTAAACTTCCAGATTGTTTCATTCGGCAACTTGATATCAACATCACCATTTCCAACTATATTGCAGGCTTTGTTATCTCTCAGATAAACCTTCCTTAGATAACTCTAAGTGTAGTATTTAAATACTTTCTTTATTAGGGCAAGCATGAAAAGAGACATTTGAATTCACTATACAAGATTTAGTGTTGATTAGGGATGACACCAGGAAGTCATTTTGAATTTCACCTGTGGAGACATTACTAAAAAGACTATTTTCCTGTCCTCTACCACCAGCTTTCCTTGGAGCTTTGCAGCCCTTCTTGAAATGTCTTTTCTTACCACAGTTCCAACATTCTCCTCTGCTTAACTTGGGCTTTCTACTTTTGCATTTGGATCTGTTTTTTCGGTATTACTGCCCAGATTCCTTCCTCTGTTATCAACATTCAACGTAGAACCAGAAGATTCATCATTCGCTGCTTTTCTGCGAACTTCTTCATTCAGCATTAGATTTACGATATCATCGAAGTTCAACTTCGAAGTCCCTCAATAATAACTCATCGCTGTTACCAAGTCATCCCAATTATCCAACAATGAAGATAGTATCACCAGTGCTCTAGCCTCATCATCAAACCTGATCCCTACAGAACACAACGGTCTCGTCACAATGTTGAAGTTATTGAGATGCTCTGCCACTGAACTACCTTTTACCATCTTCATTTTGAATAACTTTTTCATGAAAAAAATCTTATAGGAAATAGAAGGTTTTTCATATATCTTGTCTGGTGCCGCCATCAGATCCACCGTAGTTTTCTCATTCACAATGTTGAGCGCAACAGATGAGGAAAGTGTCAACCTGATCAAACCAGCGTCGTTCCATCCAACACTTTTCATTCCTCCATAGGCATAGATTTAGGCTTTTTTTGTGATTTCTTGTAGTGGCAAATGTATTTTTTTCTGATACAATAAATTCTTCACCTGCATCTTCCAGAAAGCGAAGTTCGTCTCATTGAACTTCTCCACTTTGAACCTTCTTCTTCGGTTATTGCTCCCAATTGAATTGAACCCCCCCTCTCTGATACCAATTCATTAAGAAAACTACTCTAAAAGAGTTGCCTTCTAATTTCGGCATGAACCAGAAAAAAAAATTTAAAGCACAATCAAGGCAACCAAAAAAGTACACAGGAATTTTTACGTAAAAAAATCTGAAAATGGGAAAAAAAAATCATAGAGCCACACCACCCCAAATTTCACTATGTAATTTGGAAAGTTTTACAAAGCGCTCGCACAGGTTTATTCTCCGCACTCATACGAAGAAACTTACAGGACTTGCACCAACAATCTTATTTCTTAGATATGATGCAAAAATCACGTCGAATCACTGAAATCCATCTCTTCGACACTCCTCACATTCACCGGCATGCTCGTCGAAGAATTCAAAAAAAAGAATCAGCAAGCTACACCTTACCACGCTTGAAATCGGCTTAAAAATCAAAAATCCCGTGTACTAATCGCACCGAGCACTTAGGCTCCAAACTTGGTGTAAAGCGCCAAGCTCTCGATATCAGTGCCCAAAAATACGCACCAAGGAGCCAATAGACCCGCACCTATGCATCAGTTTCTCGGGAATAAAAGCAACGCCCACTCTATAAGGGGCGCATATGCCCCAAAGCGGATGCCTAAACGTCGGCTCCACTATAGCCATGCCCTTATTGGGAGCTTGAGCGCCCTTTTTTGTGCCTAAGCGTCAGTCTTAAACACTCTTCGAATGCTTAGGCTCCACACATCATAATAGATCATTGGGTTGACCAAGACATGTTTGAGTAGGACTTTGGGTTGATTGATGTTTGATTAAGTAAATTTGGGTGCCAATGTTTGATTGATTGATGTTTGAAATGAAATTTTTATTGATTCTTTGGGCTAAGGCATGTAAAAAAACATCTCAGGATGCACATTCTGAGATCTCCCCTGGCAAGTATCTCTCCTAAGAGTGTCAACATGGACTCCATTTCGGTAATTGGTATAATAGCTCGAGTTATACACCACACTATTAAGGTCATTCTTTTTATGAGAACTATTTGATGTGCAGCTATATTGCTGACATATTTATTATCACCTTATAATTTATATTACTTATTTGTTAGTTCTATTGTTTAGGCTAGCTTCACTTCGTATCGAGTATTCATGAACACAAGCTTTGGCTTGTTTACTCAGGTTTGTGACTCGAGAACTAAGGGGTATATAGCATTATTTTGATGATTTTGTTGATCTCATGATTTATATGAGCTTATTTTGATTATAATAAATATATGGATGAATTTAAAAATGATGTATATTAAGTGATTTCAGGAATAAACAATTCATTATTCTAGGTGTAAGATTTGAAAAAAGCTGATGACTTATTCAGAACCATAGATGCCAAGGAAGCTCAAAGAGTATATGAAAAAGATTAAAGATCTAATTAAGAATCCAATTGTCATTAAGAAAGTAAATATTGTATTTTGCTAAATGAATGTTCCTTTGGCTCAGGCTATCTTTGGAAAAATTATTTATGAAAATATTTAAGAAAAAATACTTCATTTTAATATCCTAAATATTACATAGATTAGTTAAATAAAATTTAGCAAGAAATTACAAGTCATTTTAATCAACATCCCCATACTTTATAATTATCATGAATTAATTATAATTAATGTATAATTTAATAAGCAATTAGTTTATAATTGCAAACTTAGCTTCTAATTTTGATTCCAAAAGATCCATCGCATTTTTTACATATAAAATCACATAAATATGTTGCAATTATTCTCAAAATCCTTAAGTTGATAAATAAATAAATAATTTGAAAATTTACCAAACAATTATTGAAAGGTGCCCGACGGAGTCAAGGACCCCAAAGAAGAGTCGTGTAATTTTTGGGTACATTTCATATGTTAGAGTTGACCAATTGTTGTGCCTCTGTGACAAAACAAAGTAATAGGAATGACCTTATAAGAGGGAGGCTCTAAAGGCATCAGAACTAACCAGCCCAAGGCTCAGGTAGGTTAAGGGTTTTGTCCTAAGGTAGCTATGAAAACTCTCCCAAGGGTTAGGATGACTAGGTCATGATCCTTGCAATGAAAACAAAAGACTATGAAAGAGAGTTTAACAATAGCCTTTCTCTTGATTGGAAATAATTTACTAGATGATCATAATCAACAAATATATAGAGGTTTCGAGATACACTAGAACGCAGAATATGGAAACACCAAGACATAGAAGCCAAAAACTCCAAATATATGAATCTGGAAATGTAAGAGCAGAGAATCCAGACACGAAGTTCGATGATGAGAAATAGGTAGAAACAATCCTTCCAAAAAACAATGGTGAACTAGATGACTAGAGTTAAAGGATGGCAGAGGATTTGAGAGACAATTGAGTAGCCAATTGGAAGTCGAAAGAAACAATCAGATTTGGCATTCTTTATGATATCTGTAATTCAAAATATGAGAATGAGTAGAATCTAGATCAATTTATAAATTTTGAGAGTAGCATTCCAGTCCAAATTTGAAATAATACTTAACAATGGAAGCACCAAGTCATGTGCTCTACTGACAAGATAATTGGGCTATTTGACCAGCCTTAGCCATAATTAGGCTAGGGGCTAAAAAGAAGAGTAAAGTGGCCTGCGCAGTATCCGCCAACAAAATGTAGCATTTCAAAGCTTTCAACGTAAATCCAAAAGGAGTAGGCCGGCGACTGAAATTATGACAATCGAATTGTTCAGGACAATTTCATAAAGCTCTAATAATTCAAATTAAGGCCGACGAAACATGGTGATAATAAGCTGCATTCTTGATATTGTAGCATTCATTACTCCAAAATTAACACGATTATGAAAAAGCATAAGAATCAAACTTGACATGTCTAAAAATGTTGACAGTAGTTAATATTTTATAATAAAATATTTTTCTTCCCAAAGAGCAATCCAAAATCATAAATGACTCATCAATTTGGGGTCTGTAAATGTCGTAGTAATTTGAGAAATATTGATCGATCACGCAACTGAATTGAGAACTTCATATAATTTCACAAGAAAAGAAAACTTTTTAAATATTGATAGGAATTGGATTAATATGAATTTAATGTTTCACAGGAAATGTTGGTGCAGTTACTGTAATAGTTCAAACCTAATTTTGGTGTGGCGTAGGATTTTTTTCCTAAACATACATGGTAGGACTTCGACAATAGGCATGATCAAGACAGCATGCATTTTACTATATTTCTGAACACACATGCCATTTCTAACATTCCACTGCATTTCGATGGTATGACTAATGTACCTGACAATCAACATGAACAACGAACAGTCTTGTTGGTACTCTCTAGTAGAAAACAGTGATGCCACCTATAGAATGCAGACATACCCCACCAGAAACATGTTAGATAAGTGCAGAAAGTCAAACTTACATGACTTCCTCAACAATCTTCAGGGATAAGCAAGAAGCCAGAAGACCCCAAAACCAACAGTCCCTTAAATCCAAATGAAACAATCATAGTCCTTTGACCAAATCATCCTACTTGATTAATCTAAGAGGATTTAAACGATATTCAGCAGGCTTGAGCTTGACGCTGGATACTGCCAAGTTCAAGTCTGGATTTAACAGTTCGATAAAAATACTCCAACTTGTATATGAATAACATAAGATACATAAACACAGCAATACAAACAAGAAAATAAAAACAAAGTAGATAATAATAATGAGAAACTAATCCAAGATATGTAATACCAAAATCATCAGCTAGTTCCAATTATTTCTCAGAAGCATGACACTTGTGTTGTGGAAATTGAGCTTTTTTATGGTAAAAAGAATTATTTTCCCAGTTCAACAGAATGATCAGTCCTTTGAAAGGAATATCAATAAACAAATGGGTAAAGGAGCTGAAGCAAAAAAGAAAAGAAGAACAGCGGCTACATAAAGCAGCGGTCCGTGCAGCAATATCAGTTGCAGAGGTTGCAGCAGCATTGGCAGCCATTGCAGCAGAGAGCGCAGAACTAGAAAGCACAAATGCTTTGAAAGAGAGTGCTGTAGCATCTGCAGCTGCACTAGTAGCTGCACAGTGTGCCAAAGTAGCAGAAGCTGTGGGTGCAAAACATGATCAGCTCAATTCCGCTATAACTACAGCCATGACAGTAAAAGACCCAACAAACATCATCACGCTCACAGCTGCTGCAGCAACCTGTAAAATTAATTCCTCTTTATAACTTGAACATTTTAGTATTTACATCTTTTGTACTTCGCTGATGGTTGTTTTTCAGCTTTAAGAGGTGCAGCAACACTTCGAAGCCGGGTAGATTGCAAGGAGAAGATAAAAAGCAATACAAATACACTTCCATATGATGAGTTTGACTTCGGAAAATGCAGGGAATCACTGGCAAAGGGTGAAGAGCTCCTAGTGGAAAATCCAGTTGGTAAATTCTAAAATTTATAATTAATTCTGAAAAAATAATGGGTTGAGTTAAAATAGAGAAGCTATTTGATGCCAAATGAGGATAGCTGCGAACAATTGCAACAAAAATTAAATGCAAAGGTTACATGAAAATGACTTCTAGACTTCTATCATAACATCCTCACTAGTTGCATATTGCATATTGAGATACTTAAAAATGATTTCCTGGTTATAACTGGAAGCTTTCCAAAGCCAAAAGCGCATTAAAATGGCCACTACATATGAAAACAAAGGACAGTCATCTTCCTGAAACTGGCTAAGCAACTAATCTCTAATATTTTGAATAACAGATTTCTTCTTTATTTATTTGTGTCAGGAAGTTACAGGTTGAGGTGGGTCTCCATTGTTCAAAACATTAATGGCAAGGTCCTACTAAAAGTTACAAAAATCAACATTTTTATGGCATTTTCAAGCACAAAAGAAAGTAAGGCAACAAAAATCAAAGTGCTAATTGAATTAAAGTTTGCAGAACAGAAACCAGATACATAAAACTGTATTGTATGATGCAGGTATTGTTTGCAGAATGGACGAAAACATCCATGAAGAGCACATTAAGGAGCCTAACAGCGTTCATTCACTCAAAATGACAACAAACAAGGGAAAAATCAAATTATTATTCGACAATTATTCACAATACAAGAAATGGACAATGACTATCAATCAGATGCTAATTCTTTCCATAACACTCAGCAATTACTAAACACACTCAGTGAAATTGGAAAGTATATTTTTACATATGCAAATAGATTGCTTGAATATAATACTTGTGAAAGCCTTATCCAGATCTTGTAAGTTGTGAAGTAAAATTGTTGAATGCAAATTAGACTCCTGCAAAAAAATTGTATCAATACGGTTGTATTTACTTTCAAGAGCTATGCAAAAAAATAGCTCGAATTTTTTTTCCTTGATATACTAATTATTTATTTTTTTTCTTGGGTAAAACTTATTGTTACAAGCTTAAGATAGGCTTTTAATTTTTTTTATTGGAATACATATAAGTGTATTTTTTATTAACATTATTTATAAATGTTATATTTTAAAATCATATATAATGACAAAAATCCACATTTTAAAGTAGAATTAAACTCAAATCCGACTCAATTATTCAATTATAATTATATTAAAAAATCAATATACTATAAAAGTTCATTTATCTCGAGCCTGATATAAGTTGAGTTATATTAGTTCAAATAATTTTAATCACTTTTATTATTATTATTATATATATTAATAAGCTTAAATCATTTTTTCCAATTGATTATTATTTACTTCATTTTATTTAAAAAATAGATTTATTTAATTGCCAACATATATTTACCAAAAAAAAAACAGCATTTATAATTTTCGTGAAAGAAAAAGAGAACTAAGCAACAAAAAGAAAAATTCAAGATATCAAATTTCAACTTCTTGTCGGAGTTCTTGAAATCTAAACGATAGAAATTTTATTTTATCATAGTTATGCCAAGTACGTTAAAAAAATTGGCACTTCACGTAGTCAACATGGAATTATTAATAGCGCGTGTTCGGCTCGTTCGCTAAGTTAACGAGCCGAGCACGAACAACACAAACCAATATTTGTTCGTTTGTGGTCGAC